AAAGGGGAACAATAAGTCTGAAGACACAAAATGAGGCCCTAACTGATTTGGCTCAGTGGATAGAGCGTCGGCCTACAGACTGAAGGATCCCAGGTTCGATTCTGGCCAAGGGCATGTACCTGGGTTGCGGGCACATCCCCAGTGGGAGATGTGCAGGAGGCAGCTGATCGATGTTTCTTTCTCATCGATGTTTCTAACTCTCTATCTCTCTCCTTTCCTCTCTGTAAAAAAATCATTAAAATATATTTTAAAAAAAAGAAAATCAAAATACCATGATAACAGGTATAATAAATTAATTAGAAAAGAAAATAATCATGGCTAAAACTCAAATTAACATCATAGAGGGAAGACTTAAGATAACATTGGATATAGAGGGAAAAAACAAAAAGATTGAAGCAACTAGAAAGAATGTGATAGATATGGAAGCCAAAGATGATCTATTAATTAAGGATAATTGATGTTCTTTTTTTTTAATGTACTTTATTGATTTTTTTACAGAGAGGAAGGGAGAGGGATAGAGAATTAGAAACATCGATGAGAGAGAATCATCGATCAGCTGTCTCCTGCACACCCCCTACTGAGGATGTGCCTGCAACCAAGGTACATGCCCATGACTGGAATCGAACCTGGGACCTTTCAGCGCGCAGGCCGACGCTCTCTCCACTGAACCAAACCGGTCAGAGCTGATGTCCTTTGTGTACAGATCTCAACAAATGGAACTTAGAGATATAATACAAGAAAACTTCTCTGATTGGAATGAAAAATTCAATCTGAAGATTGAAAAGATAGTGTATCTGCCAGAAAAAAAAAAGTTTTAATATCCCCAACACTGACTGCCCTAATTAAGATTCTGAGCTTCAAAGATTTAAAGGGAAAAAAAGAATTGCTCAGACACACTGGTAGAAGGAATAAAAAAAAATAAAATAAAATAAAGCAGATCACTTTGAAAGGAAGGAAAAAATAAATTTGGTCTCAGGTTCCCCATGTAAGTCTATAAGTCCATATAAAAGTTGATAATTAGGGAGAGAGAGAGGGAGACAGAGAGATTTGTTGCAGAGATTTGAGCTTAGCAATCATGGGAGCTGGCTAAGAAATGATGTTTGTATTTGTCTTCACATGTATGAAGTCCGGTGCTGGAGCTTGAGGTCCACAGGCAGTTAGGAGGAAAATGATGTGAAATGGAAGACCAGCACGAACAAGCTGTAACCCACAAGCACAAAGGGGGAGCAGCTGGAATGAACCGAAACTGTGTCAGCTCTCACTACCCCTGACCTTGAGGGCTGGGTGTTTTGCAGAAGCAGTCAGTGCCCTCTGTCATGGAGCTAATGGCACATCTGGCCCAGGAGTTGGAGGATCAGGGGAAGGTGGAGCAGCTGCAGGCTGGGCTGCTGCCGCGCCTTAATGAGGCAAGCCAGCAGGTGAGTGACAACTGGTACACTATCAAATGGCTGCTGCTTCATTCTACCCTCCAGTTCTCTCTTATGGCCCACTAATCGGTAGCACACAGAGCAGGGAGTCTGAGAAATGTAGTTCAGCCTAGCCAAGTGAATACATGATAAAGTCACTGGAGTACCCCCTTCTCAGATTGGGGCTCTAAACCATGCTTAACTTCTAAAGACAGTAACATAGTAATGCTTCCACCTAACATGTACGGCTGTCCACATACCACCAAAAGCACGCCAACCCTTCCCCCAGAAGAGATGCAAACCCCCTCTTTGTCTTTGAGTGATGTCTCTTCTTCTTGCTAACTCACACTCCCCCTTCATGATACTGTAACTAAAATACTGAGCTATAAGATTAATTGCAATCAACAGAGGGAAAGAAAACAAAAACAGTTGGTTAATTTATAGATATATACCAACATATTCATATCAAGATCATAATTGTTGTAGTCCCCTTTTCTGCCATTGGTCTTGTAGGCATAGCTGATGTTTTTTAATGTTTTTATTGATTTTTAGGGAAGAAAGGACAGGGACAGAGAGAGAGAAACATCGATGAAAGAGAGAAACATATCTATCAGCTGCCTCCTGCCCGCTCCATATTGAGAATTGAGACCACAACCTAGCTATGTGTCTGACTGGGAATTGAACCCGTGACCTCTTGGTTCCTGGGTCGCCGCTCAACCACTGGGCCACACCACTGGGCAGCATAGCTGATATTTTTAATTACCTCCCACTGCAAATCCCCTTTGCCCACTGCAGATTGTGGTTCCCTGCCTGCTGGGGTGACCGAATTGTCATTCTTGAAGGGTCTGGGCCATTAGCAGTCTTGCCTGGATTGAGTTGCTATGGTTTTCCTCTGACTTTAACCACAGGGCATGGGAGTACTAAGAAATCCCATGGGGGATCAGCTATATTCCAGGCATATTCCTTCGTACCCACATGGTGTAGCTGCAACCCAAGTTCCCTTGGTAGTTGGGATCGCTTCCCCCGGGCCGTACAGTAACTCCCTTCTTTGCCTAATGAGTCCATGGCATAAGGTATCCACAGTGGCCAGGTGATTGTATGGATTTTCAGTTCGATGGAATCGCTGTTGTGTTCCTGGTAGAAGCATTCCTTCCTTGGGAACTAAGACCTCTACACTGGCAGAGCCTGCAGTGGCAGGGACAGAAAGGTCACTAGGGGAATAGTGAGAGGGACTACTCCCTTTCCACCCCTTCCTGCCTGGCCTGGTGGATCCTGGCTATGGGAGACTCAGCTCTATATATTAGATGCCGAGTTAGAGCATCCTGGAGAACACTGCCCCAAATCCAAAAGCGTTGCCACCCAGCTGGCATCATAGCCAAGTCTTTGGAAGGCCATTCCATAATTCTATCAACCCAACTCATCTTGGATAATGGGGAATATGCTAAAACCAATGAATTCCATAAGCACTGGGCCCATTTGCAGTGAAATGAGTTTCTGGTCAGAAATGATGCTGTGTGAAATATCTTGATTGTGCATAAAGCACTCCATAAGTCCATAGATGGTAGTTTTGTTTTGTTTTTTGTTCTTTTTTTTTAACATTTATAGTTTATTGACAACATAAAACAGGTTAAGACTCCGAACTGAATACACACATCCACACACACACACATCCACACACACCCAATAAACATTTGTTTTTTAATTTTTTAAAATATGTGTTTGGTGCCATTTTCCTTCGTTTTAGTCTTGCTCGCCAATCTTCAGGAAGGGCTTCAAAATTAGCATTTCTCTCTGCCATGCCACTGACCAGCTGCTGCTGTTTCCACTCTTCAATTCGCTTCTGTGCAGTTGATTCCCGGTCCTCTTCACTGGAACTAGAGTTCTCCTCTTCATCTAACTCACGAGTTTTTTGTTCTTTTTAAAAATATATTTTTATTGATTTCAGAGAGGAAGGGAGAGGAAGAGAGAAATAAACATCAATGATGAGAGAGAATCATTGATTGGCTGCCTCCTGCATGGCCCCTACTGGGGATGGAGTTCACAACCCAGGCATGTGCCCTGACTGGGAATCGAACCGTGATCTCCTGGTTCCTAGGTTGATGCTCAACCACTGAGCAACACCAGCCAGGCCACAAATGGTAGTTTTGGCAGAAGCATCGTGGACAGAGAAGGCAAATTGATGACCAGAGTGTCTATTCTGGTAAGAACCAAACACTGCCGCTTCCCTGGTGGAAGTGGCCCAATGAAACCAATCTGTCACCAGGCGGCTGGCTGACTACTCTGGGGAATGGTGCCATATTACTGTTGGTCTCAGCTGGCAGACTGGGCAGTCCGCAGTGGCTCCAGCAGGATGGGCCTTGGTGAGTTCATAGGTGTAGATGTGGACAAAACCAACTCCATCTCTGTATCCTGGATTTCATTTCATTTCTAAGTTTCATGCTGTGATCTCTGACCAACCTCACAGTCCTTAGCAAGCTTAGCAAAGCCTTCTAGTTGATCATTATCTGTTTGTGTTCCATAAAATGTAACCATAAATATTTTTGTTAAGCCGGAATGGCATGACGACTGAGATGAATATCAAACTGGTGTAGTATTGATTATAAACAATCATCCATCACAAGACCACCAGGAGGGATGTCCCCTGGCGCCACTGCACTCTTTGTCCCTTTGTCTTGTCAATCATCGGTACCTGAGTTCTATTATTTAAAAAATACAGTAACAGGGGTCTGTAGTGGAGAATAATTTGTACAGAACTGCTAGGTCATCTGTCTAAGCTGATCCTACATTCCTGTAATTAAATTACCCCATAATATCTCATTGTAATTTATAGAGTTGCCTGCAGTGTGTGTGTGTGTGTGTGCGTGTGTGTGTATGTGTGTGTGTGTGTGTGTGTGTGTGTGTGTGTTAATGGATTTCAGAGAGGAAGGAAGAGGGAGAGAGAGATAGAAACATCAATGATGAGAGAGAAACATCAATCAGCAGCTTCTTGCATGCCCCCTACTGGGAATCAAGCCTACAACCCAGACATGTGCCCTGACAGGAATCGAACCCTAACCTCCTGGTTCATGGGTTGACGCTCAACCACCGAGCCACACCGACTAGGCTGCCAGTGTCTTTCGGTCTGAAGGTACCTTCTCGTTACCGTAGCCTTTATGCCCGTGTCCCACTGTCAGACAGTGTTTAAAGTCCATGTTCAGAGCCCATGAATGACCTTTACCCCTGATATTGGGCAATGCCTGGAGTGGCCGGGGAAGGAGGCTGAATGACACCCACAGAATGGATCAATCTACCCTCCTGATTATTAAAATGCTCCTCTGCTGAGACCACCCTTTCACTCCCACTCACAGAAATCTATCCACATACCTGCTCCCTAGACCTCCTTGTCATCAGTTTTTCAATCATTATTCTTCCAACTCCCTGACCACCAGCCAAACCATTAGCCAGAGCCCACAAACTGATGCCAACTGTACCTCGAGCCATCTCTCCTTCCAGGCAACATGAACAACCAGGTGAAGTGCTAAAGTGCTGCTCACCGGGGAAGATTTCCCCATCCCTGTCCTCCAGGTCCTTCCCACAGCGAGAGGTAGGGTGCAGCTGTCCCCGAAGGTGGTGGGTGCTTTTGCCTGGAAGAAACAAAATATCCAACAATAAAGAACAACAGGCAGAGACAGAAAACTCATGTTGCAAAACTCTTCCTAAGAGTAAATAATACATTCCCAAAGCAGAACCCCTTCCTGGAGCACCCCCTGGAGAGCAAACTCCAAACAAAACCAGTCTCTGCAAGAGCGAAGGTAGGAGGGCAGTGGGTGGACATGAACCCTGTGCGGTGGGCTACTCCAGAGATGAGTTAGCTCCTCTTCCTCCTGGCTGTATGTGTGTTTGCTTGTTGTTAATACTCATCTGAAGATAGTTTTTCCACTGACTTTTAAAGAGAGTGAAAGGGAGGGGAAGAGACAGAGAGAACATCGCTGTGAGAGAGATACATCAATTGGCTGCCTCCCATGCACGCCACAACCAGGGCTGGGAATCAAGCCTGCAACCAAGGTACATGCCCTTGACTAGAATCGAACCCAAGACCCTTCAGTACATGGGGCAGCGCTCCATCCACTGAGCCAAACCAGCTAGGGACGGTTTGTTGTTTTTTCCTTTGTAAGTGTCCATGAGGCTTGAAGTTTTTGTTGGGGCTATTGTGGTAAAAAAACAAAACGAAAACGAAAACAGACACACATAGCATAAAATTGACCTTTTTACGTGTGCAGTTCAGTAGTGTTAACTAGATGCCCATGGTTGTGCAACAGGTCTCTGCAGCTCTGTCCTGTAAAACCGAAACTCTGCCCTCGGAACAACAGCTCCCCATTCCCTCGCCCCTGGCAACTACCATCCTACTTCCCAGGAGTCTGACTATTCCAGGCGTCTCATGTAAGTGGACTCAGACAGTGTTTGTCTTTCTGTGACTGGCTCATTTCACTTGTCATAATGTCCCAAGGTTCAGCCACATTGTTGCATATGACAGACAGTAGGACAGATCTGCTTCCTTTTTAAGGCTGAATAATATTCCCTTGTATGTGTGTATATATGTATATATTTTTTATATATGCATGTATACACATTTATTTTACCCATTCATCTGTCAATAGGCACCTAGGCTGCTTCCACTTCTTGGCAATAATAAATAATGCTGCAGTAAACATAATGCTGCTAGCAGAACCCTCTTTCAGTTATTTTGGATATATACCCAAAAGTAGGGTTTCTGGATCAGATGGCGGTTCTACTTTTGATTTTTTGAGGAACCTCTATGCTGTTTTCCATGGCAGCTGCACCACGTGACATTCCCCCTAACAGTGCACCAGGTTTCCAATTTCTCCACACCCTTGCCAACACTTAGTTTGGTTTGGTTTTTAGTGGTCATTTGGTGGGTGCAAGGGGCTATCCAATGTGGTGTTGATTTGCATGGCCCTGCTGATTCCAGGTGTTGAGCACCAGTTCACATGCTTGTTGGCCATCTTCTTTGTAGAAATGTCTATTCAAGTCTCTGCCTATTTGTTAATCAAGTTATTTGGGGGTTTTGGTGGTGAGTTGTAGGAGTTCCTTATAGATTTTGGTGTTAAAAATAGTCGACATATAGTTTGCATATATGTTCTCCCATTCTATAGGTTGCCTTTCACTGTGAATTGTTTCCTTTGGGCTTGAAGTCTATTTTTTTTTAAATAATTACATCTTTATTGTTCAGATTATTACAGTTGTTCCTCTTTTTTCCCCCCATAGCTCGCCTCCACCCGGTTCCCACCCCACCCTTCACCCTAACCCCCCCAACCCCACTGTCCGAGGGCTTGAAGTCTTCAT